CCTCAGCCTCCCAAAGGTGCGGGATTACAGGCTGAGCCACCGAGCCCGGCTAATTTTTTTTTTTAATTTTGGGTACAGATGAGGTCTCCCTGTGTTGCCCAGGCTGGTCTCAAACTCCTGGGCTCAGGTGATCCTCCCACCTCACTTTCTATGTGGGCTCCCATGGCTGTAAGGGACACCTCTGCCATCTTGCAAGGTGGCACAGGCCACAGCTGCAACCTGTCAAGGCTCTGTAGGACATGTCTGTCACCTCCCAAGGCTGTGTGAACCAGCAACGAAGCCATCTGAGTTTCCAAGGGCCACCTCTGCCCCTCCCAAAGGTGCACAGCGGTTTTTGCAGCCTTACGAGATGTGTAGGTGATTCAGAGCCAGCAGCATGGCCCTCTGTCCTCCAGGTACATATTCCACAAGCCGGTGAATGGACATGCACTGGCCATCTTCGGGGTGACATTGGACTCTCGCCAGATCCCTCTCCAGAGCTCCTTGCAGAGAGTGGAGGTGACTGGACCTCAACCCCTCCCCCACCTCCCCTCCACCCGCCCCCTCACTCCCTGAGAAATCGTCTCTCTTACCGGTCCTGTCCCAAGAGCAGGTCTCCGAAGGCCTGGGTCACGTGTCCCTCCAGAAGACCATGCTGATGGCCACATTCCAAGGCCCAGAAGAGGACTTCATCGGGGCATCCATCTTTGTCAACGTCACCGTGTTCTCCTCAGGTGCTCGTCCCCCCCCCCGGTCCCCAGCTGAGGTTGGGACACGGTGTCCCTTCCCAGCCCAGACACTCCACCCTGTGTCCTTGGGCCACCTCCTAGCCTCAGTTTCCCCATCAAAGGAATTGGAAAACCCCAGAAGGGGGTGGGAGGAGATGAAATGGCGTCACTGTCTTTCTCTGGCTTCATCAAGATGGGATCTCCCTAACAGTCCCAACACTGGCTCAGGAAACCAACCCCCATAGCAGCCCCTCAGGTCCCCCTCTCTCCACAGGGGGTGAGATGGTGCAAGCTGAGGCCTCAGGGGTGAAGATCGTCCAGAGACCGTACAACATCAAGTTCATCAGGACACCCAAGTATTTCAAGCCAGGGATGCCCTTCCACTTCCGGGTCAGAGTCTGGGGTGGCTCCACCCAGGGCCCCTCCCCAAGACAGACCCTCCCTCAGGAGACAAAACCCAAACTGGCCTTGCCTGCGCCCAACTCATCTGAAAGTTGAGTCCCTCGTGCTCCCCAAACGAATTCCAAGATCCCTTCAAGTCTCAACCCAGGTTTCCCCAAAGTACAGTGACAGCTCCGGAATTTCTTTATGGGGACTTGGAGGCCACAATCAGACTGGAAGGTAGCACTTGATGGTTTGAGGTTGCATGTGCACATACATGCTGCTTTTACGTACATTAATTTGGCTTTGTTGGTTTCTGGTTTGTTTTTTGAGTTGAGGGTCTCACTGTCACCCAGGATGGAGAGCAGTGTCACAATCATGGCTCACCACAGCCCTCCAACTCCTAGGCTCAAGCGATCCTCCCACCTCAGCCTCCTAAGCAGCTGGAACCACAGACACACAGCAGCATGCCTGACTATTTATTTTATTTTATTTTTTGGAGAGGCGAGGTCTCACTATGTTACCCAGGCTGGTCTTGAATTCCTGGGTTCAAGTGATCCTCTCATCTCAGCCTCCCAAAGTGCTGGGATTACAAGTGTGAGCCACTACACCCAGCCTCCACACATTAATGTGGATAGGCATTAGGAAAGCTCGTGACAGTCTTTGGCATCAGTTCTACTCCAAGTCTCCTCCTACTCTCTCCACAACATCCGGGGTGGGCACCGGTGGGCATACTGCAGAAGTCTAGGGGCATCCTTCCTAAAAGCTTTAATGTGAATGGTGCCCCTGGTGTTGTTCAGTGCACCACTCATACAGTCATATAAGGCAGTCCAAAGCCGGGCTCGGTGGCTCAGCCTGTAATCCCGCACTTTGGGAGGCTGAGGTGAGTGGATTACCTGAGCCCGCAGGTTCGAGACCCACCTGGGCAACTTGGCGAGATCTCATCTCTACAATAAATCAAAAAAACCAGCCAGGCGTGGTAGCGCATGCCTGTAGTTCCAGCTACTCGGAAGGCTGAGGCGGAAGGATCGCCGGAGCCCAGCGGGTCGAGGCTGCAGTAGCCGGGTGCGGCCACTGCACTCCAGTCTGGGCGACAGAGCAAGACTCCAACTCAAAAAATAAATAAATAAATAAGGCAGTCCTACCCAGATCGTATCCCCAGTTCCTGCCTCCCACCCCAAGTTACCCCCAGGCCCTTCTTCATCTCACCCCAGATCTCACCCCAGGTCTTCGTCTCAAATCCTGATGGGTCCCCGGCCTCCAGAATCCTCGTCAGCTGCCAAAGCCACAAAGTGTACACCTCCGCCAATGGGGTGGCCCCTCTGACCATCAACACAAATGCAGACCAGGACCAGCTCCCCATCCTGGTACCAACCTGATGTGGCAAGGATGATGGGGTGGGGTCTTTGTGGAAGGGCTGGGGTTTACTCAGTGCCCGCCACCTTCCTCAGGTGAAAACAGAGGAGTCGCTCCAACCAGAGGAGCAGGCTTCAGCCGAGATGACAGCTTGGCCTTACTCAACCCAGGGTGGGTCGGGGAACTTCCTGCACATAGAGGTAAAGACATTGGGCACAGAGGTCGGCAGCAGCATTCAAGTGAGCCTCAACACAAGGCATCAGGACTCTACAACCAAGGACAAGATCACTCACTTCACCATCCTGGTAAGAAGCTCAGACCAGGGACTGAGTCAAGGAATTCTTTCCCTGGAGCAACCTTGCTTTGCTGGGTTGGAGGGACTATGGACAAATGCGTGAAGGAGGGAACAATCTGGGGTGGGCTCAGACCAAGAGGCTGAAACAAAGATGATGATGGACCTCCAGCATGGGCTGGGATAGCTCCAGGGAAGGGCTGGTCCTACCCATCTCATTCTTGGCCTCCCTGTCTCCAAGGTCCTGAGTAAGGGCCAGATTGTGAGTGCCAAACATCAATCAAAAAGCCTGGGGGGTGTCTACACATCGACCATTATTGATGTGACTTCAGAGATGCTGCCCTCCTTCCGCATTCTGGCCTTTTATTTGCTACCCAGAGGAGTGAGCTTGGACCCTGAGCTGGTGGCTGATTCCATATGGATTGATGTGAATGACAGATGCATGGGGACGGTGAGCCAAGCCCCTTGTAATTGTGTGTCACCAGCATAAAGCTCCAGAAAGTGTCTGTACAAGTTCATGGGTCCCCAGGCTAGGGGCCAGGGAAGAGGAGGAGAATATGTGGCCTTAAGAGCTCAACACAAGGTGTGACAATGATGTGAGTAAATAAATGTGTGGAGTTGGGATTGGCCTAGTGGAGTTCCCAGATGCTCCACCAGAGCTGCCAGAAACATAAACCTGAAAGTGAAGTCAGGTGGTCTGTGATTTCCTTCTCCTGATATCTCTTTTTCTTGGCTCAGCTGAAGGTTGGCTTGAAGAATGATGGATTCTTCCAGCCTTTGGAGCCCCACAGCCTGGTGGACCTGAAGGTGACAGGTGATGCAGAGGCCACAGTAGGGCTGGTGGCTGTGGACAAGGCTGTCTATGCTTTGAGCAACAAAAACAAGCTCACTCAGAAGAAGGTGAGAGCATGTGGGCTTCTGGCCAAGAGGTTGCCTGGAGATTCTAGCTGGAGCCTCAGCTTCTTCAGCTATAAATTGGGCAAACTCAATGGTTGTGATGATTTAAGGAAATGGTGCACAGCGTGGTGACTAAAAGATGGTAAGCGCTTAACAGATGGGAGATGGTGTGAGAATTATTATTTAAGCCTGCAATTCCAGCACACCATTGCTCCTCTCCTGGAGGGGCCAGACAGGTCCCAAATTCAAGTCCCCTCTCGAACTCCAGGTCTGGGATGTGGTGGAGGAACATGATATTGGCTGCACAGCAGGCAGTGGGAAAGACAGACTTGCTGTGTTCAAGGATGCTGGGTTGGACCTGAAAATCAGCACAGGGATGGACACCCTGGCGAGCTCAGGTACAGGCAGGGGGGAAGGAGAAGGACAGGAATGGGGTCAGTGCTGCTTTGTGGGATTTGTTGTCAAACAGATATAGCCTAAAATCCAGACCCTGCCATTTACCATGGACCAGTCACATTTTCTCTTTGAGTCTCACTATCTTTGTCCATAAAATAGGGATAATGATAGAAGTAATGCACTTTGTGTGGTTTGAGACATAGGTTTGGCTGTGTGTGCCAGAGATACAAATTAGCTTATACACAGTAGAAGTTTCTCATGCAGTAACAGTTCAGAGGTCATCCTGAGACTCAGACTCCTAGCTAGTTGCTCTGTCAGATTCCAAAATAAAACTTCACTGTGACCTCATGCCAGGCAGCAGGATGAAGGAAAGAGGGAAAGGCAGACATTTATTTCACATTTTCTAGGCCAGAGCTCAGTCACATGGTCCCATCTAGTGCAAAGGGGATCTGGGAAATGTAGTCTTTATTCTGACTGCCATATAATAGATGAAAGTTTAGTTGCCCCAAACAAGGAAGGGAGGGAATGGATATCGAAGACAACTAGTAGTGTCTTCCCTCAGCTATAAACAGTAATATTTATAACAGCTTCTATTTATTACATGTCAGACCCTGTGCTAAGTTCATTTGCATCATGATTCCATTGATAGAACTATGCTTATGCTCATTTTACATAGCTGGGGAAATGAATGCCCAGAGAGGTTAAGTGATTTGCTGAAGATCATCCAGCTTTTAAGTGACAAGTCTTGAATATAGGATGCTGTGAGATGAAATGAAGAGATGCATATAAAACACTGGGCATTCAGTAAATATCCAATAAATATCATCAAGGATATTGATAACAATCTTGACAATTGTCCTATCATCCTTCCCTCTGACCCTCAGACTGGCGCTGCCCTCAAGACCCTCCTCCCAGCCGCCGCCACCGCTCCTTGAAGAGGTTGGAAACAAAGAAGAATGCAGGTCAGTGTTAAAGTTGTACATTTCCCCTGCCCGCCCCCACCCCCCTCAGTTTCCCAACGTATTATATCCATCAGGGCTTAGAACAGGAAACTAAAACCATTCTAGGTATTTCTGCAGGAAAGGATTTAATAGTGGGGCTTTGATGCTTACAAAAATCATTAGAAGGGCTATAGGAGTGGAAGTCAGAAGGCTGCTTGCTGGGACTTAAGATCACCCCACTGCAGTTCTTGTAATCCTTGAAATCTCAGGAAACTGTTGCCCATAGCTCTCACGAGACTGGTGGGTTGATAATGAAACACACATAGACTGGACCCCACCCATCAGTGGCCACTGCTGTAGGAAAAATGGTTTCTGCATCTCTTCTGTCTTACACATGTCTTATACATGTCTCAGTGAGCCTGCATCTAATCCCATCAGGAACCCTAGCAGCAAGGGAGTCTGGGAAGAGTAGTTTGTAGATGTCTAGCCTCCATGACACAAGTGGGAATATAGACAAAAAGAGAAACAGGTGCAGAGTGGGCAGTATCCGACAAACCTGCCAACCCCAAGACCAGTGTGTGGACCAGGAGAAGTTCTGAGCCTGGACATTAGGGAAGATGAGAAGCAACTCTGGGTGGTGCATAGCTCCAGCTCTGCCACTTGGGAGCTGTGTGGCTCTGGGCAAGTGAATTCACCCCCCTGTAGCTAAGCCGCCTCATTGGAACCCGCCATTTGGGTTCCATATGGGGCATCAGGGAGAAGGTATGGGCAAGACACCAAGCACAGTGTCTGTCAGAGTCATCACCAAATAAACAATAGAGGCAAGGTGCGGAGGATGCCATCGAGGCTGGTGGGTCCCAGCTTCTCAGGTCCTGCCCAATCCCTCCTCTCTCCCTCTGACTCTGGTCCACAGTGAACAAGTTCAAGACAGAGCTGGAGAAAAAGTGCTGTGAGGCTGGCCTCCGTGAGAGCCCGGTGGGACTCTCGTGTGAGCAGAGGGCCCAGCATGTCCGCTATGGTCCAGTCTGCGTGACTGCTTTCCTAAACTGCTGCCACTTGTCTGAGAACCTGACTCGGGAAGCTCGGGAGGACCAGCTGCTTCTGGGGACAAGTGAGGTGGTGGGGGCGGGAGATAAAGAGTAGGCAGCTCCATGGAGGGGTGTAGAGTGCCATGAGACAGGTTAAGAGGTGACATGGTGGCTGGGCATAGTGACACTTGCCTGTAATCTCAGCACTTTGGGAGGCTGAGGTGGGAAGAGCGCTTGAGCCCAGGAGTTCGAGACCAGCCTGGGCAGCATAAAGAGACTCTCGTCTCTAAAAAAATATCCAAAAATTACCCAGTGTGGTGATGCACACCTTGAGTCTCAGCTACTTGGAAGGCTGAGGTGGGTGGATAACCTGAGACCAGAAGGTTGAGGCTACAGTGAGCCATGATTGTGCCACTGCACTCCGGTCTGGGCACAGAATGAGACCTTGGCTCAAAAAAAAAGTGATATGGGCCATGGGGGGATGGAAGGGAGGACCACTGGAGAGTCTGGAGGACCACAGAGCACCCATGAAGGAGACCCCACCCACATCTGCTCCCTGTAGCGGGTGAAGATGAGGACTTTGATGACCTCTTCCTGGATGATAATCTGGTGCGGACCTTTTTCCCTGAAAGTTGGCTCTGGAGGAAGTTTATTCTGCCGAAAAGTAAATCAGGGTAGGACATCAACCCCCACACCAGAATCTGGTCCCCAGCCCTTCCAATTATCAATGAACAGTGACCCCTAGCAGCGATATTAGGGCTTCACTGTACTGCCCAGGCTGGAGTGCAGTAGCATGATCATAGCTCACCGCAGCCTAAACTCCTGGGTTCGGGTGATCCTCCCACCTCAGTCTCCCAAGTAGTTGGGACTACAGGCATGGGCCACTACGCCTGCCTTTTCTTTCCAGCTAATTTTTAAATAATTTTTTGTAGAGAAGAGGTCTTGCTATGTTGCCCAGTTTGGTTTTAAACTCGGGATCAAGCAGTCCTCCTGCCTCAGCCTCCCAAAGTGCTGGAATGACAGGCATGAGTCATTGTGCCCAGAAATTCCCTTATTTATCTACTTAATTTTATTTATGATTAATATTTTTTGAGTCGGGATCTAAACCTGTTGCCCAAGCCGAATAGTCCCAAGGTGGGAAATAAGGGATAAAGATGTCAGTGGAGGCCAGGCTCGGTGGCTCAGCCTGTAATCCCAGGACTTTGGGAGCCAAGGCGAGTGGACTGCCTGAGCCCGCGGTTCGAGACCCGCCTGGGCAAGTTGGCGCCTCATCTCTACAATAAAATCAAATACTAGCCGGGCATGGTAGCGCGCGCCTGCAGTTCCGGCTACTTGGAGGCTGAAGCGGAGGGATCGCCGGAGCCCAGCAGGGCGAGGCTGCGGTGGCCGGGGGCGTGCCACTGCCCTCCCACCGGGGCGACAGAGTGAGACTCCGACTCAAAAAAAAAGAAAAGAAAAACGGTTGGTTTGGGCCCACGGCTCTGCGCCGCACCGGCGACTGCTGGGCTTCTGGTGAGGCCTGAGGAAGCTGCCATTACTGTGGAAGACAGAGGGGGAGCAGGCACGGCCCCGGGCAAGAGCGGAAGCGAGAACGGAGACGGGGCAGTGCCAGGCGAGAACGGAGACGGGGCAGTGCCAGGCTCGGTTAA